GTAGAGCGAGTTTTTGCGATATTAATACACGGTTTTCCCGTTAATACATATATATATATATATATATATATATATGTATATATATATATATATTACACACATAATTTGAGCTATGCCAAAACGTTTTATAGGATGCCTAATTGCCCTGTACAAATTTTCTCACAACAGTGTCTGTCATCGAAATTTATACAAAATTGCCACTGTGATCCCCAAAACCTTGTTATCGAAGTCTTCAAGATATTTTTTTGTGTTTTAGGGGGAGGTAACTATCATCTTCTTTTTAGCCTACCCCGACTTCCTGTTTCCGCTTTCGTTTTCTGAACCGGTTACTTTGATAACACTGTGAAGCAAATTTGCTTCCTGTCCTATGGAAGAAAGATGCTGGAAGCAGCTTTGTTGAAGAATGCTCAACCAGAGTCAAGCAGGCCTTACTCCACTCGCTGTGTGAGACCTCCGACTACTAAAGGTTAGTCGATAATAAACTCTATTGTCGTAAGTCGAGTGACCGATTAGTGATTATTAGATCTATAATCTATATCTAAATCTAGATCTAGATCTAGATCTATAATCTAGATCTAGATCTAGATCTAGATTAATCTAGATTCTAGATTAGATAGCCTAATCACTGACCACTGCCAAAAAGCCAGAGAAGACGTAGCCTAGATCTAGATTCTAGATCTAGATCTAGGCCTATGTGTAGTGTTGTGACTGAAGAATGTCACTCATCGATGATTATAAAATCGATTGTCCTCATTATGCCACTATGCCATGGTGACAATAATGATAATAATGAATCAGAATTAATACTCAAGATCCTCTTTCGAAGTGGCTAGCCGTACTTAAGTACGCCTAGACTGAGAGTCTAGCCGTACTTAAGTACGGCTAGACTGCCAGTCTAGCCGTACTTAGATCTAGGTTTGGCCCTATCGACTCAAGCCTGTTAAGTACACAGGTCTCATTAGATCTAGATCTAGTAATTATTCAGGTTCAAATGCATGCAAGTCAGTAAGGCACCTTTTGGTTTTGTCTGGAATACAAATACTTTAGGCATTGCAAACTAAAAATTTCATTTACAATTCAGCCATCAATATTAAGTACGGCTAGCCTGACAGTCTAGCCATCCTTAAGTACGGCTAGCCTGGCTGTCTACCCGTACTTAAGTACGGCTAGACTGCCAGTCTAGCCGTACTTATCTTTGGCCCTATTAACATTAGAAAACAGGAGGACATGCACTGTCATTAAGGCACCTGGTTTTGTCTCAAATACACAAATACTTTAGGTACTGAACACTAAAAATGTATAGATCTATTTACAATTCAGTAGGCCTATTTTTTGTAAATGGTCAGTCTAGCCATCATATTAAGAATAGGCTGATGTTAGGGGACCGTACGCCCCAATAGCACTTTACGCTAGGGGACCGTACGCCCCCATAGTGTTTGGCGCTAGGGGACCGTACGCCCTACCTGCGCGAAGGCTTGGTGTTACGAGACCATACGCAGATGTGCATGCATCTGGACTTTGCAAAAATACTGGAAGAAAACAGCCTGTTTAACCAGAGAGGGTTTACAGTAATAGTATTGTGTAATAGTAATAGTATAGTACTGTGTGTGTGTGTGTGTGTGTGTGTGTGTGTGAGAGAGAGAGAAAGAGAGAGATGAACAAATTTACACAAAGGGAATGTTTTGGAGAAAAATGAGTAGGATAATGAAAGTGGCTATTCTCACCCGCCCGGAAGTTCTCGCAAGATCAACTCCTCCCCTCTTCTCTCTCTCTCCGTCTCTTTCTGAATACTGTCTATCGGTGTGGACGATCAAATTGACCAAAACAAAGTTAAAAAATGATGTTAGAAAACAAAAGTAAATAAATTTGGTTGTCTACAAAGATGCTATGGCTATTTAACTTTTCGAATCGAGCCGAACTACGCGGGTCGCCACTTTGTTTTGCCCGGAAATTCTCGCGCTACTCCTCTCTCTCTTTCTCTCTCTCTCTCCACTGCCCACAGACAAAATTGTACGCTTTTAGTAGGCTACAATTGTAATGGAACGTTTGTTCACGGCACAGAATTCTACAATTTTTCTGTTATCACAGTGTAGAATTCTGTGGTTTAGGGTGAACGTAAAATTTGGTGAACGGGCACCGGGTGAGAATAGCCACAAGACTCGCCTGCACTATTCTCACTCCGGGTGAGAATAGAGGTGGCCTAGGATAAATGTGCGTGTGCTCAGGCGCATTCTGCGGGCAGACGTGAGTACATTTTGGAAGCTTTGCGACCTAAAATAAATAGGCCCATAAGCCCCATTTATTAATGACGCTCGTAAATGCTGGAAATTTACTCACTTTTGCACGAGAGAACACGCCTGAGCACGCACCCAGTCTTGATAGCGCGCAAGACGCAAGATCAACTCACATTCAGTGACAATAACAATAACATGAAAAGAAAGGGAAAAGAAGACAGCTTGGAAAAGGTAGATGAAAAGCAAAGCAAACTTGACAGAACGTCGGGTTGTGAACTAAGTACAGACGAATTAAAGTTTATTTGCAAGCGCATTACATATATTATACGCCTGTCCAACTCTGGTGTTGACCAGATGACAAGGACATGTGGTTACTTGAGGGAGGCATTGCGCTGCCAAGAGCGAAATGCTCGCAGCTAAAGGGATTTGAAAACAACAACGCCTGTCCACATTAATATTATGGATATTTTCTCCGTCGTTGTTCCCGGCAGAATTTTAAATTTTATAAAGGCCATTGGCCTTTATGGCGAGTTGTAGAGTGAATTTGATATTATTTAAAATTTTTATTGTCACTTAAAAGTTGTTTTAGATCACAAATGTATTTACACCGAATTTGAATATTTTAACTTTTTAGCATTTTAAAGTAAATTAGTTACCAGTCGTGAAGTGAACTTTCGCAGAGGTG